GATTTTTTCACTGTACCTTTAGTGATGGTGCCCATGTTGAGGTGGGAATGATGCTCCTCTTGAAGATTTCCCAGCATGAACCCTGATGATGGATACATTATCATCACTTGGAGCACGGCATGTAGATCACATGTCATCTGTAAACTATCATACTGTAACCTAACTGACACAGAGGCTGGTTGTCATTTGACACTTCATGCTTGATAGAACTTCAGTTTATGGAGTGATCTTTTAAAGTGCAGTGATACCTATAAACATGGCAGCTCCTGCTCTGACCTCAGGCCAGTTACTCTTGAAGAATTGGATGACTGAAATGTGGTAGAAGTTCAGCATGCCAGGAAAGTCCTGAATCTACAACCCCCAAAACACACAATAAGCATCACAAACAAGCATCTAGGATGTGCTTCATCATTTATTGTAACTTTGTGGTGAGAAAAGCAAACATCAGGACAGAAAGCTGACAAAATGTAAATCAAACTAACGGTTTGAATTTATCTCCCCACATTTAAATAAGCTTAACTCAGACTGTCTCTCAGCTCACCAGGTATTTTGTGAGGTCGTTGATGAATTCTCCGTAGTGCAAGCTCTTATCTTCATGTAGGTGGTTCTGAAACATGGCTGTGATCTGTTCTGATCCCACTACAGGAGCACACACTCGCATCGCATACTTACACGCCTAAACAAACAAACAAATCCACTTTTACATGACAGCATATAACAGTTCACCCTCTAGTACTAAAGTGTATCTGCAATAAGAGGGAAAGCTGCTGTCACAGTTTTTGTGTGCTTTCCAACTTCACCTTAACCACCTCTGGGTTTGGATCAACCAGGTGTAACAGCAGGCTGACCAGAACATTGTGGATTTGGTCTTTGAACACTTGCTCTCCTGAGCCAAACGTGGACAGGTTACCCATGAGATGGATGGAAGTACAGCGGATGTCATCGTTCTCCTGGTTGAGAGTCAGAAGCTGCACTTAGCATTTTATTTAGACAACTAGAGAAAGTGCATTGCCTGTTTCATCGTCTCATGTAGGTTGGAATGGGAAATTTCACTTTATTAGGCACAGAGGTGTAGGCAGGTACACAGGTGTGCCTACAAAAAGGGCCCTGTTAGTAGGCACACCTGCTGAAAAGCCACAAACATACAGGTGTGTCTCATAAAGCCTCCTTGTGTCTGAATATTTAAAAAGTCTTCTTCTTACAGGACTGAACAAAGCTTGAGGAATCTAACTGACCTCAGATGTGAATGAACTTCACATCTGAGGTTTATTCACATCTTCACATCTGAGGTTTACTTTAGCTTTTTCATCAAATGAAAAAGCTAAAGTAAGAAATATTGATATAAAATACAACAAAATGTTACTTTATTTAGATTAATATTTGATTAATAACATGATACAGGACATATATAAAAGACCAAACTTACATTTTCCAAGAAAGGTTTAATCTTCATGAAGATGTAGACCGCGAGTAGGTGAACGTTTTTCTTGTCGAGGTGGACAAGAACTTTAGACAGGCCTGACATGGCCTCAAGTGTGATCAGTTTATCTGTTTCAGTTTTATATAGAAAAAAAGAGAGAGATCTGATTAATGACTGTACCATGTACGCTTTAAGAAACACTGCAGTGAATTAGATACAAATGTTTATTAGCGTTACCTTTTTTCACTTGTAAACTCTGCTGTTGACTTACCTGGATCATCTTTCTCCTCCATTCCTGAACTCATGGCTGCCAGCAGCTCCTTGGCATATTTATTCACCTGATAGGAAAGTTACACAGAGAAAGCTGTGAGTGTCGTAACAGTTAGGGTGGCTGAGTGCGAGTGCTGTGAGTGTGCGTACCTTTTCAGGTGAGCCCACGGCTATGTTCCCCAGCCCTCGCACAGACAACATGCGGACCGTGCAGCATGGATCTGATATCCTCTCCATCATGTTGTTCATTAACACATCTACTAACATCAGCTCTGTCACCACATGATGGTTCAACAGCTGGAGTCACAAGATAAGACCGTGACAAAAGACATAAAATAAATAAAAAAACATTATTTTATTGTTGTTCTCCTGCTGCTGGCCAATGAAGCTGCTAAAGATACTCATTTAGTCATTTGTAATTTAGATATAACAATAAGAATTGGAGGCATGTAATCACTGGGTTTATCACCTCAGAAAAGAAAGCAGTGACAGTGATTCGCTGGCATTCATAGATATTGTTCAGTAATGGACACAGACACTCCACGATTGCAGGCAATCTGGGACCAGCATGCTTTGCCATCGCCCTAAGGACAAGGCAAACAAACGCTTGTTTACAAAGACACCATAGTACATTTAGAGCACATTTAAATTAACATTTTAACTTCTAATAAGACAGGGTTTGGATAAAATGCAAAACAAGGGCATAGTGTTTCCAGTGTACTGTTTTAAAAGAGATTTACAGCTTTACTGGTGTGCAACATGAAGATATCTGTACCTTGCTAGCAGTGTCACTCCTTTAACATGTGTACTGGCTTCCTTCACTGCATCCCAGGCGTTATCCTCATCCAGTTTTTTCATCACCTCATCTAACTGGGCTCGTGCTAACAAAATTCTCAGCGCTTCAGCTGCTACCCTGGAAGAGAAGAAAGGATTGGATCCAAAAGTTCACCCACAGAAACACCTGACATTCTAACTTGACAGAGATTTTATTTATTTATTTTATACATAAAAAAAGATGAGTACCCTGCGACGTGGATGGAGGCAGTGTGTTTTGAGTTGCTGTCCTTTGGTGCTGAGACTCCGACGCTCGCTCCCAGTCGCACAGTGAGGCAGGAGAATAGCCGAGGGAACAGACTGACCGCTGGCTCCTGACTCTGACCGTTTAATAACAGCTCCTTGAGACCGCATGTCATCTGAATGACAAAAGTCACACAACATTCACACCCATCAATTATCTATAGTAAATTTACCAAGTTTAAAAACAGCACCAGAAACTAAACACAAGCCAATTTTTTTGTACCTATGTACAAGTCTGTACAACAGACTTTCATGATATTACTTTGAAAGTCAAGCACATGAGGGGTGTGTGTCCTGTGCACAACAATTGCATCTCAATTTAAATGTAGTGAGTCACTTTGTAACTTACAGCCAGTGGCTGATTAGTAGCCACCTTTGTTGTCCCTCCTCTCATCAATGACTCCTTCTTGTCTACGTAGGGTGCCATGATGCTAAGTTTCTCCATCACCATCTCCATGATCTGATTAGCTACAATGGGGTCTGCTCCCAAAGCCATCCACATCTCACTGATCCAGCTGCACAAACAAATACGCTTCATGTTCACACATGTCCCAGAAAACATCTGTTACAGCTAAAATATGAGCAATTCTTTCTTATATTAAGACAAAAAACAGCTGGCATGTGGTCACGCTGAGGAAGAGGATTTAAAGGTTTCTTTATACTTACTTGTCATAAGGAAGTGGTTGGTTGACTAGTGTATTGATAACAGTCTGTAGATGCTGAGAAGCCAGGATAAGTACTGTTTGTCCCACTGCCACTCTCACCTGAACATAATACAATAAAACAGTTATTCTTAGCAAAGTGCATATAAACCCCTGATAAACTGAGTGAGTTCATTAAGTACCTGCAAGAACACAAAGTAAGAGAGTTGTGAAGTAAACGGCTCATCATTGCAAAATAGGGCTCAAAGGTATTCTTCTAATTTGCTCTTTGTTATTTTAACATGGGGATAATAAGAAATCCTTTAAATTGTAAATGCTGATAATGCTCAATATATAAATAATTTAAGTGTGTGATATATGAATTCTGCATTCATGTTTGTCTTTACCTGGTCCTCTGTGACGCTCTGCAGACGCACATGCAGCACCTCCAGCATCTCTGGGACCTACATACACACCAAACAACATAGAAACAAACAAATGCTGTGTTTGGTGATCCAGCAGGACAGCAGCAGGTAAAGCACTTCACTGTTACAGTTGCAAAACAATGTCTGTGAAGCTGGTTACATTTAGCAGGACTTTTGATTTGATGTCATCTGTACGGCCATCAAGATCGTTTTAGACAAACACAATCTAACTAAACCAGTAACAGTTGTACTTTCCATGTCCTGGTTAATTCTCAGAAATATTTCATCAATATGTCTGGGATGTCTTGACCTAACAGGCCTCTACAGGTCACACCAGATCATGTGAATCAGGTCAGAGCTAAGAGGCTCAAAAAAGTGGAATTTCCTCCTTTCTTTGTCTTTTTTTTTTTGTAAACCACTTTGCTGTTTGATTCTGTTCTGAATTTATTGCTCACTCATTGATTCAAAGATTTCGTGGCCCTTGGGTTGCAAAGCAGCCAATCTTGAGTTTTTTGAGTGTTTTCCTTTTTCTTTTCTTTCTTTCTTTTTTTTTTTTTTTAAATGTAGTTTGAAACATCTGCGTGGTCTTTAAAAAAAAAAACAACTTTCCCCTTCATTAGGAGTTTTCCTGATCAGTGTTTTTATGAATACATGAACAAAGACTTTAACAAGGTTTAAAGATTTATAGTGCTGTTTTGCTGTTTTTTGCGGCCCTTTGGTCTTCTTCAACTCCCAAGACTGAGTGTTATTCCCTTTGAAGTTTAAAGGACGCCTACTCCCAGGAGAGTAGCAGTAGTCTTAAATTTTATTCACTTGTAGACAATTAGTTCTTTTCGCGGGCTGAATAACATCCAGATCTTTAGAAGTGCTTGTTGCTTTGTTGTTGCTTTTCCCTGCTTGGTGGATCGCTCAAATGCCTCTTCTTAAGGTTCTGTGAAAGCTATCACCTAAATTTGTGAGTAGGCAAATGTTGTATACATTTATTTATAAGGAAATGTCAGTGATTCCAGAGATTTCTCTTTTGAAACTTTATATCATATGCAATGACTGTACAGGCATAAGAAAATGCAACTAAAGGCAGTCCGTGTGTTACCATATCTTGTAGTCCGCCTCCTCTGTTCTTGAGCAGAGTATTCAGAATGACAGTTGAAGCTCGGCAGCAGTTTGTCTGGCTGTCGACAAGCCCTTCAAACAGCATGAACACCAATGTCGTCAGCTGCTGCTGAGGCAGACGCTTACTCATCACCTGATTTCATGCAGGGAAAGATGCAGTTACACACACACTGCGCATCTACATTATGGTGGACAGAGTGTGACAGACTATACGCATTACAACAGATAACTGCACAAACATATTGTTGAGTGTCATACTAAAAGATAAAAATCCCCACTGGCAAGAAAACAAGTATTGAGTACGAGCAATAAAGCAGTTTGCAGCTCTCCTGCGCGTACCTTGGTAAGGTCTGAGCAGGTCTTGTACAGAACTGAGTGGTCAGGGTTCTCCAGCCGATCCTTTAACGACAGCAGAGAGTCCACAGATTCATCCTTATAATCCAAAGAGAATCCTACGAACAGGGATAGAAATATTTAAATAAGTTTTACAATGACAATAATCATTCACAGTTCAACTCCAGATTATCCAACAGCTGCTCCTTTTATAAACCAATTACAAAATAACAGACAGGGTCTCATCATTGCCTCCTTACCTTTCCCCACTTCATGACATGGTACTTCCTTAAAACAATGTATAAAATGTCAAAGCGTTACATGACTGTACCTTCATATCGAAGTTGTATATAAAGGAGTGTGTGTATGCACTCGATGGCAGCAGCGCGTACGGCAGGGACAGGGTCCGAACAGCGTGGAGACAGGCGGCCCAGCAGAGCTCCAAGGTTGTGGAAAGACACCATGTTCTGCACAAAGTTTTGAGTTGTTAAATGGTAATTACACGATTATCCATTGAATTATAAAAACATTTTGTCACCAATATATCTTCCCTATGTTTTTGTGTGTACCTTGACAGTCAGGTTATCCAGGTAGTAAGCCAGTATGTGAGCTGTGGCTGTGATAGCTCGCTCCCTCTCGTGGTCCTGTCCAGAACTCAACCATGATTCAATGTGCTGCACAAGGAAGTCACATCAGAAAACGCAGGTTACATACACTATGGTAAATGCTATGGTAAATGGCCTGTATTTGTATAGTGCTTTACTTTGTCCCTAAGGACCCCAAAGAGCTTTACATGTACACTACGATATGATACTGGCATGTTAAAGTCAATCATTACTGTATGGCAGTTGAAGTAGGAGCTAGCTTTAGTCGAGCTAAGTGTGTCCAGTGTTGGACATTTTCTCACTTGCATTACACTGAGTCAACATTATGTCAGGATGATGGTAAGAGAGTAATTAAATTATTTTTCTAATAGAAGTATTATTTACTTAATAGAATATTGATATTTTGTTTCCCTGTATCGATCTATTATCACCATGTAAAACACTGTGTTACTATTCTGTATTGATTTTATTCCCCATTCTTCTACTGCTCAACCAAAAGTAGTAGTAAAGATTTTCATCAGCCCCTTAATCTTATGACAAAATGACCTCATTTATCTTTTAAAAATTAAATAAATAACATATTGAATAGCCAAGTGAAAACAAGAGTATTTGCTGAAGCGGCAGGCTTCACCTTAAAGACATTCTGTAAACCGTCGGGTGTTGGATCTTTAGCCAATATTCTCTTCAGCAGCTCCTGCAGAGCAGCCAGCGTGTCTTTGTACAGCGCCTGTAGAGATCCACCAGAATATATTGGACTGACAGCATGACAGCATTTAAAATACTTGGCTACAATGACAGACAAAGTTTGCTATAAAGATCAGAGGTGGTACAAACAAACTACAGCAGATCTCAGTCTACCTCACTTCACCTTTCTCTGCTTGGGGTCGAGCGGCTCCTCTTCTTTAGTTTTCTCTGGAGTGTTCGTCTCAGCTGGCAGAGAGAACACACCGTTGATACACACCTTTAGCAAGTCAAAGTTCTCATTCTCACTCATCGCAGGGTCCAGTGGACTGAGGCATTAAGGTCAAAGATAAAACACTGGGAGATGACAGAGCTTCAGTCACTGATGATTCATTTCACGTCAGCAAAGTGCTGCCTCGTATTTGTCTTCTGTTGACTTTGAGTTCTGTGGTTATCATTTAAGTCTGCAAAAGGAAGTCACCCCAAATGAAAGTTTTACAGTTCATTCAGTGCAAACAGTAAGATTAACTACTACAAACACTCATTTATTAGTAAGCGCTCTGTACATATATTCAGTAGCTGTTAGTCTCTATTATTAAGGGATTTAATTTCTGTCATATTACTTTGCAAATTTCAGTTTCTTCACTGAAGTGAAGGATACATAAGGTTGGCACACGTGCTCATCACGAGCTGGCGTACTGGAGTCCTCAGTGCATCAGCTTGCTCTGCCTTAATGAAGTCCTGACCAGTGAAAAAAATAAAAGACAAGAACATGTCTGCTATTCTTAAGGTCTGCAATTACTGTGTAACAAGAAGCTGGCCCTTAATTTCCACTGACCAGCATAACAGTAATGAGCTCCTGCTTGCGAGAGAAGATGTAGCCTTGTTTCTTTACACACTCGCTGATGGCTTTGGCTATGAGGCCAACACTTTGGATCAAACTGAGCTTCATAGTCAGGTCCTGTATTGGGAAAATGCAGAGATGAGGGTGCACAAAATACAGAAAGACAAGTGACGCACAAAGACATATAAAAAAACAACAACAACAACAAAAAAAACAAAGAGAAAATGATTCAGGTCAAGAGGCAGTCTCTGTTATCAAGAATGAACCAGATGCACTGCAAACCTGTTTTAGCAGACACAACTCTACACAAAGCTTAGTAAAAATAAACAATAGAATACATATAATAATAAATCAGTCAGCTAATTAATTAAATCAATCCAACATGTATATTGCAGATTGATCCTCCATGCCTATGGATGGAAAGAAATGTGAGGAGATCAGTAGAACAACAACATCTGCAAGCTCTGATCAGCAAGACATAAAAGGCGTTCACACAGCGTGCGAGTCACCAGTGAGTAATGTAACAGCAATCAACCTTTAAGCAAATAAGGTAAAAAGAAAGAAAGAGGAGAGCTTATAGTGAAGAACAGAGAGAGACGGACCTGAAGGTGTTATTTATGAATGTCACCCTGACTAGAACATGCCGTAAACACAGCTGTTTCATTGCCCCAAATGATTATAATCACAAGACAAAATGTTAACAGCTTAACAGCACACACATAATACAATATTGTCGTGAACCTGAATATTACTTAGTAAGAACTAATGTAAGAGAGGTGGTCTGCTAGTTTCTTATCATCTGCTCTTTGTAGCTGAGAGCCGACAACAAAAGATAAAAACATCTTTCAAGCTTTCCTGAAGTGAGTGTGTGAGATATTTTCAGTGATGCATCACTTTGAAGCTACATTTCCCTGAAGTACACCACGGTCCCTTATTACAATAAGAAGTGATGCTCAATATGGTTTCCGACGGTTCAACAACCAAATTTAACTGGGATATATTTTAGTGTCATTGCTATTATGTGATTGTAAAAAAGTTTTAAATTGCATTTTACAAATCAACATAAACTCCACCACCACACTGGAAACATGTTAGTGATCGATCATACATGAATGCCTTCAGTGGACAGTAAAGTCTGGTGCTCTTGCACCGTGAAACTTCACATGTATGCAGTGAAGCTGGGTTGAAGCATAATGAAAAAGCTGTTTTACTGCACAGCGCTCTCAAATTGAAGACTTTCATGTATGATTTTAGTGACAATATCACCAAAAGTATGCAGATTTTATGCAGAAATATATTAAGAAAGGAGGGTGAGATCAAACTGAAGAAAGAGGAAATGTTAACGAGCAAGGATTAAAGACAAAGCTCCTGGATTCCTGTGACGATACCTTTGTCTCTACTTTAATCCCCAGAACCTGCATAAAGAAAAGGTGATAAGGGATGAGCTCACATACAAACACAGCCCTGATTCCTGCAGGATTCAGTCAAATAAAATGTTAATCAATAAGCTGTTAAAATTAAGAGTTTCCTTGTTCACTGCCTGTAGCATCAGACCTGGATCTTAGCTCAGTTTGCGTTTTTTTTTTTTTCTTCTCATGAACTGTCTGATCACCTAAGTCAGCGGTCCCCAACCTTTTTTGCACCACAGACCCGTTTAATGTCAGACAATATTTTCACAGACTGGCCTTTAAGGTGTTGCGGATAAATACAACCAAATAAAATGATACAACCAAGACAAAAACTGTGGTATTTTGTAAATATAATAATAAAGGCAAATTCACTGTGTAATTGTGTAACTTTATTAGCAGCGTCCTCCTGAAATGCGCCAACAGCATTCAGAGTAACATCCTCCTCTCTGCCCCTTAATGCTCTCTGGTCGCTATGGTAATGCGTAAATATTTCTTTCAAAATAAGACGCACAACCACAATGCGGGAAAAGACCCAGAGAAATTGAGTTAACGATAAAAACCATTAAAACCATAAATTTCACATCTGAGCCTCAACTCTCGCTGCCCAGACCAGACGACACAGACCGGTACCGGTCCAAGGCCCGGGGGTTGGGGACCGCTGACCTAAGTGATGCAGGAGTCTGTGACACCCAGCAACACCATCTCAAACAATGGCAAACTACTAAATCACAGGACTGTTTCTCAGTGTTTCCATACCTTGGTGTTGAAATGTTTACTGATGCAGCGGAGGATGTCCTGATCAATGCGGTTCAGAATCTTTTCTGGAGGGGCGTTCGCAGCCACCTGACCGTAGCACAGGATTAATGTGCTTTTCACCTTCTCCACCTCGACATCATTACGCTCCTGAGGTTAGACAAGAAAGGAATAACTAGCTGTTTGTTTGTTTTTTTAAACTGTACAATCAGTATTCATTTTGTTAACCAATAATTTTTGTCACACTTTTTCCTAATAAAAACAAACTGACAAGCAAATAAAAAATAATGCTCGAGGACAAAAACGATGACAGGATGTGTTGCCACTTTTTGTCAACAAAAACAAAAAAAAAAAGATGAAAATATTCTGCAGAGACAAGATCCAATAAGAACTATCTAAGAGACAGGTGTATAGACAGGTGGGAATATGGAAGTGATCCAATCAGAAGTAATCTCTGATCTTAAATTAACATATGAGAGGAAGAGAAGAGTAGACATATGGACACATTTGATATTTCATGTCAAGGAAAATAAACAGTGCTGAGAAACTGTCACCAACAAAACTTGACACTCTTTCACACTTTATAATGTAGCCAACGTCAGATTTGGTCTCATATCTTGTGATATTTAGCTAAAACTACAAGAATTTAGATTTTTTTAGAATGAGATTTTGGTCAAAAGATTGTGACAAAACTAAATCAAAATTTGCTGTCTAAATGAACACTGCTCTACATAAAATAAACATAAGGAAACTTGTTATTTGCACATTTTCCATCGTACTTTGAGCAGGTTAAAGATGCTCGGTGACTTCTTGAAGGCATCCGATTTTCCAAACTCATCCAGCTTGGCCAGAGTTCCCTCCAAGTGGCTATTTGCACACAGACCGACGCCCATCGCCACTCCCTGAGAGATGCAGATGACGGGAATTTAGAGTCAGACTATAAACCTGTGCAACAACATCAAAAGTGACATGAGTTTTGTACGAAAGAATATTGTCAGGTGACAGTTTCAGGTACCTCTCTTTCGACTGCATCACTGTGCCGAGCTGCGAGGAGAACTTCATGCAGCTGTTTTTTGACCAGGTCTTTATTGTAACAGTGTTGGAGAGTCACTCCTATACATCGATACAGGAAGCTCTAAAAAAAGGAAAAAAGGCTCATTATATAAATATCTAAGCAGCATTTTCATATCTTTCTCTCCTATAAGAGGAACATCTGTGATATCAATTATACTATACAAAATTTACTAGTTAAGTTTTGTTTATTTTCAAGCTTCACCCTTGGTCAGGTGTAACTTTTCAACTTTCTGTATGCAATTAAAAAATATATATATATAAATAAATAAATATAAATTTTATGTGTTCTGCTAAGCATTCATCATGTCTGCAGCAGATGACCAAATCAAATTATACCTTGCAATTGGATTTAAGAATGAAGAAATACTTGTGATTTTAAATATGATTCATAATATTAGCATCAAAAAAAAATGGGCCCATTTAGAAGAAAACAACTTGGTGATTTGGGTGAGATGATGAACGTTTGGCATCAGCTCTCATTGCACAGTCTTGCCAAAATATGCACAAGGAGTACCATGGGCATCATTTTAGTGCTAATGTGTGCTGTGTGAACTGTGGTCTCATATTTGTGATGGTAATCTCAGAATATTGTAGTTTTCTTCTCTTGGAAATTGCCAATTTTACTGTCAGAAATTCTGACGTTTTTCTTAGATTTATTACCACCCTCTACCGGCTCCATATTTTTCACTTCTAAATTAAGTTTGCTTTGAAGCCTTAGCAGCTCTGAACTGGCTGTTTAATAAACCTTTACTGTTAAAAAGGTACCTACCTTCTCCTCTAAGGCGTTGTTATACGTAGGGAGGTATCTGGTTGATTCAGCTGCCAACTGACATACCCACTTATCATCATCAAGTGCTGTCAGGGTTTTAGACAAGAGCTGTGGACAGTTTTAGCACCTTTAGGATGACTTTGATCAAATTAATTGACTTAAATGGTTTTTGACGAAGCAGGGATCATAACAGTCTAACTATATAAATAATCTCATAATGATGACAACATTCACTCTCTTCCCAAATAAGTGGGACCATATTTTTGTTTTATTCAGCTGAAAATCACTAATGCATTTGAAGAGGGAATATTAAAAAGCCCACACACCTCCAGTAACCTCTTGTCCCACTCCTTCTTATCCAGACTTTCTGCAGCGGACTCTGTTAAAACCAAAAACCACAGTCAGAAAGCTCTGGCAGCAGCATAGTGAAAAATACTGTGCATGAGGATGACACTCAAGGTGATGATCATCTTTACAAGAAAAAAAAACAAACAAGCATGAGAACCCCTGAAGGGCAAAAATGCCAGTTTGTGTAACTACAGCAAAGCACATATATAGTATAATACAAATAAATGCATAAAATGATTACTGTATGTGCACATATTTTCATACCCTCTAGTACTGTAAGCAGTGGAGCTATTTCTTTGTCCCAGACTGCCTCAGCATTGGGGTGAATGTTAATACTGAGGATTTGGAGGAGAGAGAGGGATGGAGCGCCATGATCTCTGTTATTGAATGGAAAAGCTGCATTCACCTACAAAAACAGATACCTATCATTTATATCACAGATCACATAAAAGACAAACAATTGCAGTAAATCTGTATAACTTGGTTATTGCTCCATGGTAGGAGGAGCTAGAGAAAAAAATGCAACTACAAAGAATTTGGGATTAAAAGCCATAGTGAGTGAAACAAACGCATGCACGCACACAAAAAACACATACAAACAGAGAGAGCATTTTAAAATAAATAACTTAACTTTCACTCACAGTATGCATACAACACCCAATCATTATATGCAGATCACACACACACACGTTACTGGGGATTAAATTAGCATAATAAATCCATGCAGTCTTTTTTTTAAATTTTATTTTATTTTTTTATTTTATTACAAAAATGTTGCTCCAGCCAATTATTAGATGGGATTCTTGGCAAGCCTTTATTTTAATACTGAAGATGCAAAAAGGGAATTAGGTTTAGCTGATGCTTCTATATTTGCTTACCAGCAGTCTGATCATCAGTGTTTGTGGAGATGGTAGATTGACTAAAGGACAGAGATGAGACATGTTTAGCTTAAACTGATCATTCAGAACAAGAACAAGAAGAGACAAAAGAACAAATTTCAATGCTTAAAGTTATTTATAATATTATTTTTTCCACTTCCACACATAACATTTCAACATAGACCCCTTACAGCACACTGCTTTCCACACTTTACATAAAGAAGTGTCTATAGCCAAGTACCTTCCCGTGTAAAGTCGATTTTGAAGCTGGGCTCTTGGTTATTTTTCTTCTTGTTGCCCAGCACTATGAGACTTTTACAAAGAGGAGTAGTGGCATTGCTGTACTGTGAAGGGGTCAGATAATACAGCAACTTTGGCCACAGTACCTTCAAACAAGAAAACACACATGTTAAATATCACAGCAAAGTTCTTAAATGTAACACTTTTAACTGACTAGTAGTACAAATCAAATTTAACTGACCTACACTACTAGTCAGGGAAGTTTCACACATGCACAGCATAAAATAAAGACATAAGAAACACCTGCTGCTAACACTGTTTCCTGAACAACACATGTTAATATATATACACAATATTTATCAGATCAGACTGGTAGAAAGGGTACATACATCGGCTAGTCGTCCAACAGTGGTAGTGAGGAGATGAAGGGTGTTGTCACACATTGACCTGAGTGACTCGTTAGTTACCTCCTCTGGATCTGTGGGCCTCTGACTCCGCTGAAGACACATAGAAAAGGGCACAGGTAGTAATACATATTTTACTTGAAAACATCTTCGCTGGTCCTTCTGTATAGTTCTTCTTTAATCTGGGGTGCTAAGGTCCTCAGGTTATCTGTGAGAGGACAGATGTTTCATGTCTGCAGAATCTGTCATTTTCAGCTCCATATAGTTCATTAATCTTATAGACTTTAAGATAAAGTATTAAAGCTCATTTGTGAATTATGAATGATTATGAATATCAACTATGAATGTCTGGGCATTAATGGGCTTGTTTGCACCTTAGATTTTAATCACATGGAAAACAGAAAATGATATTTGTTTTTACTGTTACCATTTTGTACATGGTGTACATATATACAACAAAAAGCCACCATAC